CGAACCGAATGGTATTCGAATCAGGTAGGTTACATAGGAACAGAGGCGAAAACCTCATCATGGATTTCTGAAACCCAGAAACTGTTGTTGGATGTAAGATTGCAATTTCAAACAACAATGGTTACAGAGAAATCCCAAAACATTATGATTTAAGAGAATGGTTAGATTGAGAAAGACGAAGAGGACATTGAGAGTGAATTTGGAGATTCAGGAAGTCTAAAAGAGTAGGATAAAGGATGAATGAGTTCATCTGGTCATGTGTGTGAAACGAGAGAGAGATAGAGAGAGAGAGAGAGAGAGAGAGAGAGAGAGAGAGAGAGAGACAGAAAGAGAGAGGTACCGGTAGGGGTGGAGTAAGGGTCATCTTCTTTGTTTTTTATTTTATTTCATAAAATATTAATACAAATAAGAAAAGAAAATACAAAACTGAAATTAAAAAGGTAGATAGGTAATTTCATTTTTTTGACCAAAAATCTAGAAAAATCTTGATTTCAGACCTTCTGTGCAAGCTGAAAACTTTTTGGATCCCAAGATTTTTACAAACCACAATGACCAAATTTGCAATTTTGTCGCTATAAAAATATTTAATGTTGGGGCAGGAGGACCAAATTGAAATATATCAAAATAAAAGTGGAAAACATGATATTATAAAAAACTTGTAGACGCAAGTGAAAGAAGTTAAACAATGAGAGATTCAACTGTTTCTTTCGCGCGTATTTGTACGCCCACGCGCTCTTCTTCTTCGTGATTCCCATTTTCGGGCAGTTAACATTGCCATTGCCATTGCCATGTTCCCCTAGCGTATCTTGGTCTTCCTCACCCTAAATTCAACAAACATGGCGTCAGAAAACCCTAATTCCACCCCAAAATCTCCAAGAACCCTAATGTGCCCTAAAAGCGATACATCCCAAAGCCCTTACGCACCTCCATTACCCTCGTCATCAAACCCTAATCAACCATCATCATCGTCATCGTCGCTTCATCCAAACGCAGACACGAATGACGCGTCCGACAATCTCTTCCCGGACTCTGGCCCAAATTCGCCACACGATCCATCCGAATCACTTGAAGAAGTTATCGTTTCTGTTCCAGGCGCGATCCTACATTTAATCGATAAGAATCACAGCGTGCAACTAGCGATGGGAGATTTCTCGATAGTCAAACTACGTCAATCCGACAGCCTGATCGCCATTCTCGCACGCGTTGGTGGAGAGATCCAATGGCCTTTGGCGAGACACGAGGCTTGCGTTAAGTTAGACCAGTCTCATTATTTCTTCTCGTTACGCGCTCCAAAGGAGAAAGAACACGACGCTATGATGTTAAATTACGGATTGACATTTGCTTCGAAAGGACAAGAGAAGTTGTTGAAAGAGATGGATGAGTTATTGGAGCATTGCAGTAGTTTCTCGGTGCAGAAAGTGGAGGAGAAGAAGGGGGCTTTGGATTTAACAATGGCGGAACGAATGAGTCCCTCAGATCTGAAAATGGAAGCAAACAAGGAAGAGATGGAGCAGATTTGTCGAGCTTATTGGACGACATTAGCCCCAAATGTGGAGGATTACAGTACGAAGGCTGCAAAATTAATTGCTGCGGGTTCAGGGCAACTTGTTAAAGGGATTCTCTGGTGTGGAGATGTTACAGTGGATAGATTAATCAAGGGTAATGAGATTTTGAAGCTAAAGATCGGACCTGCCAGCAACACAGCAGTTAATCCTGAACTTCTAAAGGCTATACACAGGTTTTGAAGTTGATGTTGAAAGTTGAAACTATTTTCTTATATGTTTTCCAAGATTCTTCTGTGAATATTTGCATTTTGATTCTGTGGGTGATTCTTCTAGGGTTAATAAGGTGACGAAGATGACAGAGACAGTTGTTGGTGGACTTCTTTCTGGCGTTCTGAAGATTACTGGATTCTTTACAAGCTCTGTTGCTAGCTCTAAACTTGGCAAGAAGTTCTTCAAATTTTTGCCTGGGGAAATAGCACTCGCGACTCTGGATGGATTTAGTAAGCTCTCTCTTACATTATTCTCAATTTGACAAAAACTAAAAACTGCAACTTTTAAATTTAAAAGCTATCAACTAATTTGATATAAATGTTTGTGTATAGGCAAAATTTGTGATGCTTTTGAAGTTTCTGGAAAGAATGTAATGTCAACATCATCTACTGTGACAACAGAACTCGTTAATTACAAGTAAGTCTTATGAATATATGTTCCATCTTTTGTACTATTGACATCAGTCTGAGATCCAGTACAATGTACAATGCATGTGAAACGCAGTATAACCTGTTCAGTGCAATTTGTTTGGGTGTAGATATGGAGAAGAGGCGGCGAAGGCAACAAATGAAGGGCTGGATGCGGCGGGCCATGCGGTAGGAGCCGCATGGACAGTTTTCAAAATTAGAACCGCAATGAATCCAAAAGGAGTTGTGGCGCCTTCTGTGCTTACAAAAACTGGTCTTAAAGATGCAACCGAAGAGATGAGGAATAAAGCACTTAAAGACATAAAGGCTAAAGATTCCCAAAAAACATCCAAGTGAATCATTATAGATAGATAATACCTAGTTTGTTGAACAGTCAGCTTTGTACTGTGTTTGTCTAAGAAGGTGGGACAGGGACTGAGACTGAGAGTGAGACAGACAATCCCTTGTACAGTTGAGTTTAGTTTAATCCCATACTGTATAATCGTGTCTCGTGTAACAAACGCAACCTTAAAAGGTACTCAGATTAATAGATGGATTCGTAAAATAAAATGTAAATATAAATAATGATTTTAAGAATTTAGTGTAAAATTGTTTACATGTGTCTATTTGTAAAGAGAGAAACAAACATACAATATAGCATATGATTCATAGATGTAGTGTGTGTTGCATTTTGTATTTTCATCTCATTGCATAGAATGTCATTGCATTTACATTAGGAGTACATTGTTTATACATGATGTGATATTGATGAGTTGAGATTTCCTTGTGAGATATTATCATTGTTACTTACCAAGTGTATGCATACATTTTGAAGATTGTTTAGCTTTTAATGTCATGATGGAAACCGAATTTCGCTCTTAGCCATGCTTTTATATGTATGTGTTGAGCATGTGATACAAATATATAATCCCCTTGTTGACAAAGTTACACCAATTTGTGAATAAATTATAGTACTAAAATACATCATCTTATTGTTAAAATATTAAATATGTTTATTGATGTGATATTTCAATACATGCTTGAAATAAAATAAAATTTGGTGTAAAAACTAAAAAGGTCACCATTCTAGTTGGGGTTGCCCGTTGGCTAAAACCCGAAACTGATTTTTATTTTTATTTTATTTTATTCTCCTTTTATCTCTAAACCCACCCACGAGGTAGTAAAGTGTTAACTAGAAAAAAAAAGTTTTGGGGGGTTAACTAGAATGTTTTAAAGTTTGGGGGTCTATTTGTTTCTTTTCTAAATGAGTTGCCTTGCTCCCAAAGTCGAGAGATCCCCCATTATTAAGAGCTCTGTATTTTTGGTCCCGGATCAAAACTAAAAGTTCGAATCCGAGAACGAAAACCTAAATCTCCGGTAGAATCTGATCAGCTATGGCGAGATACGACAGAGCTATAACGGTGTTCTCCCCCGATGGTCACCTCTTCCAAGTTGAATACGCCCTGGAAGCCGTACGCAAGGGTAACGCCGCCGTCGGTGTTCGTGGCACTGACACTATCGTCCTTGGCGTCGAGAAGAAGTCCACCGTTAAACTTCAAGACTCAAGGTCCACACCGAAACTCTCTCGTAATTTATTTACATGAACAAAAAATCATCATCGTGACTCTTCAATAGGAAGAGCTATGGTTAAATTTACTTCTGTTTTCATTTGTGTTTACACCTTTTCTTTCCGATTTCATCTTCTTCGTTTACCTTCAACTGATATTTGCCAATACTGATGCGAAATATCGCAGACATGCTCGTACATTTCAAACCCTAATTGCGATCCAGTTTTCACAAATTAACAGCCTTTTGAGCACATAAAGTTGCTCTTCGACTTTTCATTGACACTATAAATCATATACACTGGAATTGCGATTTTGTATCAGCTCGGAATTCGGATCTGAAGATCATGTCGTGTATTAGGTTGAATGGAGAGAATCGACGCAAATAATGTTTGCTACAATTTACATACAAGTCCTTTACTTTACTGATTGTTTATGACATGTATGTTTGTGTGTTCTTATCTATTCTTTTCTGAAACTTTTAATTCCCTGTGTTTGCAGATCAGTAAGGAAAATTGTAAGCTTGGATGATCACATAGCATTGGCTTGTGCTGGACTTAAAGCAGATGCCCGTGTTCTCATCAACAGGGCAAGAATTGAATGCCAAAGCCATAGGCTAACTGTTGAAGATCCAGTAACTGTTGAATATATCACACGTTACATTGCAGGTCTTCAACAGAAATACACACAAAGTGGAGGTGTGAGGCCATTTGGGCTTTCAACTCTAATTGTGGGATTTGATCCTTATACTGGTGTCCCATCATTATATCAGACTGATCCTTCAGGAACATTTTCTGCTTGGAAAGCTAATGCCACTGGTAGAAACTCCAATTCCATGAGGGAATTTCTTGAAAAGAATTACAAAGAAACATCTGGTCAAGAAACTATCAAACTTGCAATTCGTGCTTTGCTTGAAGTAAGGTTTTTTAGAGTAAAATTTATATTTTGATTTTGTTTGTTTTGGGATTGAAACTTAGGGATTATGATTTATGATGTGTTTAGGTTGTTGAAAGTGGAGGGAAGAATATAGAAGTTGCTGTGATGACAAAGGAAGGGCTGAGGCAACTTGAGGAGGCTGAAATTGATGCCATTGTTGCAGAGATTGAAGCAGAAAAGGCGGCTGCTGAGGCGGCAAAGAAGGGTCCTGCTAAGGAAACATGAGGATGAGAAGGGCATTTATGTCTTTTTCTCACCCGGTTTTTTATTGTTGTTTTCTTATTTGACATTTTGGATACATCTGTTTTAAGACTTTTGGCATGGTAGTTATAAGGAATTTGTTAAATTTGACATTTAAGAAGCTTTGATTTGTGGTTTGATTGAATGTTTTATGAGCCATTGGTTGTCTTTGGTGATGCATTAGGGTTGTGTTTGTTACATGAGACAAAACCGAATAGTAGGTTTTCTAGGTTTAGCTTTTGTTAGCAGGGTAAGAAGGGTATTTATGTCTTTTTCTCATCTCGACCTTTTTGGTACTTTCATGATGCATTAGAGTTGTATTTGTTACTTGAGACAAAACTAGGTGTGATGGAATTGAATAGTAGGCATTCTAGGTTTATCTTTTATGAGTAAGATGAGAAGAGTATTTATGTCTTTTGAATAATTTTGAGTTTGAAAATATATTATGAATCCCTTATATCTAATTTTTTATCTTTAAAAATATGTAATATTTATCAAATAAAAAAGGACTTGATAATAAATTATACAAATTAATGTATTAAACAAAACATTACAATAAATACTAGTAAATTGAAGTTGATATTTCTTTTTTATCTAATCAAACATTTTATGTATATAGTTATAAAAATAAGAAATGATAAAAATATTATATGACCATTACAGATTTATTAGTTAATATAGATCAAAAAGAGTAAAAAATTAAGTATGCAAAATAATAATAAAATAGAATGTTATTAAATAAAAACGATAAATTGTATAAAACATCAAACTTTAAAAAAAAATTAATAATATAAAAATAGTTGGTATTATTAATGTAAAACTAACCGATTGATTAGAAAAACAAAATTTTGAATTGACTATTCATATTTGACATTCCAAAAAACCTTGAAGATGATCTAATACAGTTGTGGAATGTGAGCAAAAATGTTGTTTTCTAGTTTGGCGTAAATGAAATTGTTCAACCAAAAAAAAGATTATTAGTTTAGCCCATGCAGGTTTCGAACCTGCGACCTTCGCGTTATTAGCACGACGCTCTAACCAACTGAGCTAATGGACCACGACATTTTTTTGTTAAAATCAAATATATGAAAAATAACTCTTTGCACTGAGTTGAAATTGAAAATAAGCAAAATTTCAGGGCATATTCCGCAAATGATGTTTAAAAACAAAAAGATAGCAAAAATTGGCCCATGCAGGTCTCGAACCTGCGACCTTCGCGTTATTAGCACGACGCTCTAACCAGCTGAGCTAATAGGCCCCTTCGATGTTTGTGAACAATAAAGTACCCAACATTATCTGTAACTCTATTAATTCATATGAGTTATCTCATTAGTTTGTCAAGTAGATTAATGCTCTTCCAATTGCTCAAAAATGCTATAGTGATCTACACGATTTTAAAGGCCTCTTTTTTTTCTTCTTCTCATAATTGGGTGTTAATTCCATGCAGTATCTGTGTAGTCAACCTATGGCTTGTTAATCCTCATATTAGGTATTCTACTCGATTGTAATTGGAATTTTCTGTTACATGAGTTGAAGAAAACCTACATCCATAACCAAAACTCAACCATTGTCATGATTTAATCTTCAGATATCACTTGTCATGGGTAATAATTTCAGGGTATCTATATAGTTAAAACTCTTGCTTAATTATCTACCAATTTAATGAAGAGCTAGCAAACGAAAAATCATATTACCGAATTCAAATGAGTCATATATATCTAAGATGAATGCATGCATGCCATGTCTTTTGGTTATTGCATTGATGAGATCCAAGATTAGGAATTTTTTAGGACGGATGCACACAGTGGCGGAGCCACATGCGTTGGGGGTACTATAACATCCCTAAAAATATTGTTTTATGTTATTGTTATTGTATCCCCAACTAAAGAGATTATATTATGTTTTTTAATGCTCCGAATATGATAACTACATAGAATATTTATTGATAATGTTTGTACCCCATATAAAAAATTCTAGTTCCGCCACTAGATACACAGATTAATTTCCAATTGTATTTGGATACACTTGGAACATTTCTTTAAGCGTAGATCGAGTTGTTGTCCTCTTCAAGAAACCTTTAAGACGTATATTGATATACCATGTTCTTAATTATGGGTGTCTGACTTAGGTTAATTTAAAAGACTAGATCCTAAAACCTAAACTCTAAACTTTAAAGCCTAATGATACACTGAGTATCAAGTTAGAAACTTAGAATCAAGCTGATATAACTTATCGAGGGTTAAGATTGGTTAGCAATATTGTTATATTGGACGGTCCTAAACTCCAAATTGTTGGTGATTTTAGTGGCATTAATATATCTAGTAGGATTTTATTTGAGACAAGTTGAGTTTCTTATGGTTATATTCCGAGTAATGAGGTACACGGATGTCGGGGGTAAATGAAATCGAAAAAAATGAAAATGTAAAAAATAGTGGTGTGTCGGTTCATATGCCTTCAAATATTTAAAAGTAACTTCGATACTTATAACAAAGCTCTTGCAATTGGACAATACGATATCTTATATCTTGAAATGTATTCATAATTATATCGTTATCGATACTTTCTATAATAATTTTTTCAAATATACAAACTAAACTATCACTAAAAAATTGATCACCAATTTTGTTGCGTATATTAGTCTTATCAACTTTATTGCTAAAAATATGTGTTCCATACTTATTGTTGCAATAGGTAAAATCAATGCAAGTTTCAAAAGAAGATAAACCTTATGAAATATAATACTTATTTTCTTCCACCGTATTTTTGGCATGATCTTCAATGGTCTTCAAATGATTAATTCAATGGTCTTCAAATGATTGAATCATTCATTTTCTCTCACATCTTTAATGTAATTTCTAAATTTCACTTCAACAACTCGAAAATCATATTTTGTTGGAGATTCTTCCAAATAAAATGTAGCTATTTCCATTATTTTATCCAAATTAAAGTCTTTGAAAGACTCACTCGGGCACAAACAAGCAATGCAAATAAGTAAATTTGTGTTGATTTCCTTAAACCGATGGTTAACGCTTCAAATTATATATCAATCATCGCCTTAAATATATCAACTCCATAGCGATGCAAGTTGTTAACTTTTAAATAAAAAAACTAGTTTATATATTAATAACCATTGACAAAACATCATATCATATCATATCATATCATATCATATCATATCATACTATATTATAAAAGAAGCATTTTTCCTTTCACCACATTTATTTGAAACTCCCATGCATTTTTCCTTTCACCATATTCATTTGAAACTCCCATGCATTTTTCCTTTCACCACATTCATTTGAAACTCCCATGACTTTTCAATTTCTTTCTAATAATGATTATAAGTTGGTTAATAAGATTAAATAAATATAAAACCTAAAGTGTAATCATATTCATTTGAAACTCCCATGCATTTTTCCTTTCACCACATTCATTTGAAACTCCCATGACTTTTCAATTTCTTTCTAATAATGATTATAAGTTGGTTAATAAGATTAAATAAATATAAAACCTAAAGTGTAATCATATATAAACTAAATTTCAATATTAAAAGAATATATTTACTTCTACTTATAAAGTTGTGTTTTTTTTTAACTTTTTATAAAGTATACTTAATTTATTAGTTTTAATATATTGTTGGATGTAAACCATTATCATTTTAAAGCTACAACTTTTGAACAATTTGTATAAAATATTTAAATAATAAACTTAAATATAACATTACATGACCAACTTAAGTATAAATTTTTGTTTAACTTAAACAGCCTAAATACTATTTTGTAAGTAGTTAAAAGTAATAAATTGTAATATCTTTCTAATAATGATTATAATTTGGTTAATAAGGTTAAATAAATATCAAACATAAACTGTAATCATAAATAAACTAAATTTCAATATTAAAATAATATCTTTATTTCTACTTATAAAGTAATGTCTTTAACTTTTAACATATTATACTTAATTTATTAGATTTAATATGTTGTTGTATGTAAACCATTATCAATTTAAAGCTACAACTTTGGAACAGTTTGGAAAAAATACTCAAATTGTTAAAAATATAACATTATAGTATCGACTTAAATATAAATTTCAGTTCCACTTAAAAAACTCAATAAATATTTTGTGAATAGTTAAAAGTGATAAATTGTAGTGTTAAATGCAAAAACTAAATTATAATATCAATTTAACTAAAATATTTCCTAAAGATATTTGTATAATCGTTAGAAGTTTTCAAATAAGTAGCTTAAAATAACTTACAATAACAATAGTTAAGAAAAAATTATATAAATGATTATATTGTTACCTTTAAAATCAAAAAACAATGTCTGATGTTTTTAAATAATTGCAATGATAGAAATTAAAATGTTAAAAAAATAAATTTTAAAAAATTAATTAACAATAACAAAAACTATAAATAACATTAAGCCATATATTATATTTAATTTTATTCATGAGTAACCCGCATGTAAAACTCATTCAAACGGTTGAGATTATACGGTTAGATTTATGAGTGCATGGGTATTTTGGGAAAACCCTTTTTATTTTAAGTATTTGATTTAGATTAGGAAATTGTATGCTTGTTTAACAAGTAGTACGTATTAGTTTAGGTTACTGCTTTCATTAGTATAAATAAGGACATGTATTTGTTAGTTTAGATAGTGATCTACAACAATAAAATCCTTTGTCACAGTTTTTCTTATTCCATCTTTGTTTCGTCTACATAGTTTCTCTTGGGCATCAAGGTATTGCTAGTTTAATACCTTACACTTGCAACAAGGGCCTTTCTAACCTCAAGACCAAAAGTTACCACCACGTGATTTTAGAGGTAAACCTTAAAGATTTATTCTATCTTGGTTTATTAATATAACTATTGGTTAGAATATAGTACAAAAGAGGATTATGCATTATCTTTATGTTGTTATCTATTCAAATAGACTATACCAAAACAAGATGGATCATATCATTTTGTAAAATTCGGATTCAAAGCTTGAAATAGGAAATCAAGAATAGATAGTCATAAAGCTGGAACTCCACACAATCTTGCTATGCAAAAGTGTCAAAATTTTATGAACCAAAGACAATCCATCACATTGAAACAAACTACTTTACAAATATATATATATATATATATATATATATATACACACACACACACACACACACACGTGTTTGAATTCTTCAATTGATTGTGCCAGAGGAGAATCGGTGACCACATCTTTGCTGCACTTCTAGTAATAATACATTTAAGAATTATTAATTTGATAGTTGTAAATAGCCTCAGGGCTATAGAACAAAGGAGTATGTCGGACAAAGATTAGCAACCATGGTCATAACATGAAGTAATAATCATATGATCAAGTAAGTAGCTCTAAAAACTCAATTCAAGAAATTAGGGATGAAGGATGGAAACTACTTTTTAGGAAGATTACTTTGTTTTTATATTGTGATAAAACAAAGTTGAAGGTTTTTTTTTTTTTTTTTTTTTTTGGAACAAGAGAAC